ATCCGTGATAGTGGAGATGACAATGGAATTTGACAACGATCTCTTAAGCAATTGTGGGAATTGCTTTGGGCGGTTGTGGAGGGTTGATGGATGGCTGTGGAAGGGCAGCGAGACGCCAAGAACACTGCTCTGATACCAGGTGTTAGAACCCTTGCAGATTCTAAACTTGAGGTTGATCTCTTTAGGGGATCGGCCTCCTTGGAACTCTATAGGGGTTCCTCCCTCCAAGTTGCTGCTCAAAGGCTGCAGAAAAGATTCATCTATTGCTTATCAAAAGAGGAGGAATACATGGCTATTTATAGGGTTTCGGAACCCTAACTCCCAATAGGACTCCTACTCAAGACTCCTACTTCTAACCAACTCCTAATAGGACTTCTACTCAAGACTCCTATTCCTTTACAACTCATAATTCATCTCTAAGAAACAACCTCCTAACCCTAGCCAGTCTCTTCACCTCTTTAATAGGGGTTGGCTTAGGTAGGTTTTACATGAATATCCCTCTCAATTAGGACTCTCCTAGCTAGAGTCCTAACATCCAATTACGGGCCAACTGGACCCATGTAAGAACTGTGTTGGGCCTAATAAGAAGCCCAAATGGTGCCCCAAGAAGACTCACCGTCGTGGCACAGTCTTCGAGACTATGTCAGGCGGTGGTACCGCCAGTCTGGACGGTGGTACCGCCCGTGCCCCGGGAACCTGGGATGAGATGTTTTTAGGCTATAAATACCCCTCTCATCCCTGGTTAAAGCATACAAGCACAGAGAGTCTAAAAGTAAAGAAACGCTGCTGTTATCTCTTTAGAATTCCCTCCTCTACTCTAAGTGTTAGATTTCTGTAAGAGAGGAGTGTGAGTGCTTGTAAGGGTTATCTCCTAAACCCGGTAAAAGGAGAAGAGGGGTGTAAAAAGGTGATTGGCCTTCGCCTATTGAAGGAAGGCCTCTAGTGGACGTCGGTGATCTTGTCAGAGGAGGAAGCCAAAAGTGGATATAGGTCAAGATTGACCGAACCACTCTAAATCTCGGTTTGCATTTACTTTCTGTCATTTATCTTAACTACAAACTGCCTTCATTGCTTTACATCAACTATACTTTCGTATGCTTTCAATTTAAGTTAAGTTTTCGAAAACAATTTTACGTCGGAAATGATTTTATTGTACGAAAGTTTTTAAACCGTCGTTATCTTACCGCTGCACTAATTACCCCCCCCCTCTTAGTGCCGACCCCGATCCTAACATTTATCATGAGATTTTTAGTTTCAAATTGTATATTTATATTTCAAATTTCCACAGAGAATAACTAGCATTACACCTTTATGCGTTAACTTTTCATCTACATCTAATTGTTTATTTTGTATAGAAGCTTTCAAATGTAATAACTAACAAGATATCTTTTTTAATATATGATTATATTTTAAATATTTTTTAAGATAATGTGAACTTTGTGATTGTATCAACTCTAATATTGATTTTTGAAGAAAATGATACGTCGTAATATGGAGATTTAAATATGATCTTTTTTTTTTTTTTTGCACTGCAATTATTGAGAATTTTGTTATGTTTTTTAGATTATTAAAAATTAAATAAATTGTTAAGAAAATTATTAATGGCAGGATCAATGTTCATTCCATTTTTTAGTTTATTTTGCCACTACAACTTTTTGTCAAGATTTATAGTGATAAAATAATTCATAACCAAATATTATCAAAAAATATTATTTTATCCATTTATATATTTTTAATTGATATAATTTGGAGATATTGGCTACAAACATAAGTCATCACTAAAAATTATAATTTAGTAACAAGTACAACTATTTTCGACAAAAACTAATGATGAATCATTCTATCACTAATTCTTTCCTCGAGATCATTCGTCTTATAGCTCATTCTTTTCTCGACAAAAACTATAATTCTTCTACTAACGTTTTCCTCGACAAAAACTATAATTCTCTTATAGCTAATCATTTTGTCTAATCATTGTTTTCCTCGAGATCATTGTTTTTCACTTTTAATGACCAAATCTTATACTGAAATACTCTTAAACTTGAAAATAAATCTTACAACATAAGAGAGAGCTTCTTACAAGACAGCTTTCACACCAAAGCTCAATAAATTACTCAAAAACACACAAAGTTTCTTGCATAAAAGCTCCAAGCATCATAAACATAAGAAAATGACCAAAGGTACTTAGAATACCATCTCCACTAAAATGATACAAAACCAAACCATTTCTAAACCCAATTGTGGTACCACCACCTCAAAAATGAGGCTGCCGAGGGGGTCATCAATAACGGTTTAATATGACTTAAACACTAGCTCGATTACTCAACTAAAGCTTCAACTGAACTTTTGGTTTCTCGATTGACCCTTCAACATGTTGATTGATCCCTTAGTATTTCAACTAATCTTCAGGCCGACTAATCCTTCAACTAGTTTCCTCGAACACATTCACTAATCTTTTTGCCCGTGGATCGATCTTCTACTTCAGTTTCAAACTCCCCAAATCGGTACCTGATTATCTGGCGCAGTTGATTCTCTAGTGATCTACACCCACAGTTGGAAGTACAGATTGAATCATCTTTTAAGAAATACACTTGACAGACACTGTTCAAATTTATTAATGTGCGAGCATAATCAAAATGATTCTCTTCGAATTCACATGAAGCATTGATGGTGAGATTTTTTATTGGTCTCAAATCATAAGCAGGAACATGACTAACACGGCTCCTTTCAGATCTACTCAATTAGTCCATTAAACCCATGGATCGAGTTATTCATTAAGAAGAATATGGAGTCAACACGGTGCATATATGGGAGCATAATCGAAATGGTTATCTTCACAGCTTCTATGGTGGGTTTGTGGATTGGGTTCAAAGCACGAGGTGAACGTAATCGAATTGGCTTCCCGCAAATCCACTCACTGTGTTGGTGCTAAAATTGTTGATTAGGCTCAAAACACAAGTAGAAGAAACATAATCAAGCTGGCCTTCACAATATCGACAGGACTCTTGTTGATTAAGCTCCATATGGAACCAGTTGGATTATTGTTTTACATTCGTATTTTAAATAAAATTTATGGCGATGCTCATCCTATCTATCTACATATCTATCATTATTATTATTATTCCAAAATCTCCTTTTCAGGGAGGAGTGTTAATGTCGCTGGATAACCCGAAAACTGTATCGAAAACCTTGCAAGTAAAGATCACAACATGGATCCAATAAACTTGCGCGTGATTTAACAATTGATGACTTCTAGAAGTAGGACCTAAAGATGTCGGCACGCCTGCAACTACTAGCAACCAAGTGACACGCGTGCAATTAGCATAACAACGTCACATCATGATTTAATTAGCAACTCTCTTTTCCAATCACTCTCACCTGCGGTCCTTTTATCTTGCTCATTAAGCATTCAGTACGTGATTAAGTATAAGTTGGAGAAAGATATTTATGTGGAGAATCCCACGTATACCAATCTTCCGGATTTACCTAACCCTGTTTCTTTATGTGCCACGGAGTTACAGACCGGCACGTACGTTGACCATCACCAACCTGTTGACCAGCTTGTCGTCATGCGCCAACATTTATATTATATATCCATAATGGATAAAAAAGCTAATAGGGCTTAATCTTAGCCAATAGCATTGAGGCTGCAGGTTTCGCGAAGTCCACGACACCGCGTCACGTGGGACGCGAACGCAGGCAACGCGTCGTGGCATGGGCGAGGGGCGTTACGTGGCTCAACCAAGATGGGTGTTGGCTACGTGGCCAGGTTTGGCCTGGTCTGGCAAGGCGGACCCCACGCAGCTTCGTTTTCTTAAATATGTCCTTTAGCGGTTGGAGTATATGCTCGGAAGCCCTCCTCGTGAAGTCCAATAGGGGGTTTGCTCCCTGAAGCGCCCCACGCCGCGCTGTCATTTTTCCCCCGTAAGCGCTCGGTTTCTTCGGCACTCTAAAAGATGAGGAACGCGTGTCGCGTGTCTCCCCACGGCACACGTCATGATTCTCGCACGCGTGTCATCCCCGACGCGTCGGGTACGACGCGCTCCCTGGGCGGTCCGAAAGCGACGCGTCAGCCCCGCGGGGGCCACCACCGCAAGAGCTCCACCGTGTCGGCTCCCACCGCGCGCCGCCCAGGCCTGGACGGGACCTCCGAGCTTCGGCTCGCCAACGCGTGTCCAATCGGGTAGGACCCTGTCGGGGCACGCCACGTGCCCGGTTGTCGTCATGTCCCCGTCCTCTCCGTGCGGTTGTTCAGCGAAGAGCGTCAGTTTGGGACGAGAAGCCGGGGAAGCAGCCATTTGGACGGCCAGGATCTCGTGATGGACGGAGTGTCGATATGATTGGCATCCACATCGAGAGGATTAGGACGCCGCAAGAGATTGGATTACAAATTTGGCGTGGTACAATCATATTTACTCTTTTGGAAAATGTAGAAAATAATTTGTGGATCAGAAGAACACAAGTAGCAATCATAGGACATGCAATGTTCCAATTTTGATTGCCAATTTCGGACCCTCAGTGTTGGGAACTTATCACACTGTTTTTATCTTTTTCTTCCTTCAGATACCTTATCTCCAATATTATTTTTTCTCTACTTAGTGATTTACATTTATAAATTTTATATTAATGATCCAATTCCACACCTTTCAATCTTCGCATCATTTTGAGCTACAAGGTTCGGGATGGGAACCTAAGGCTCTTGTAAATTTGAAAGTTTCCGTGGGGGGAAATCATCAAATATTGTTGAAAAGGATGAGCATGAGAAAACCAAGCATCCATCAGAAAAAATAACTGTACATGTTCAACATCTACAAATCCATAGAATAAACAATACTAATTCAACTGATACCAGCTAATCATGGGATATAAACAATCATGGAATATGCCTCGAGTATTCCCAGTCAAATAATCTATGCCGTATATCTTTACATTGCCTAATATTTCACCACTATAATAAGGAGATCACAAGAGCTCTTTGTTCCAATCACTTCATAATATGATGTCAGAAACTTGCATTTGCCCACGTCCTAATTCACCATGGCCGATCACCTATAAAACGCAAGCCTGAGCGAGTTTTGGCCTCCAACAGGACAAAGTTCTCTTCTACCTTCTTCCTCTTCTTCTTCTTCTCTTTTCACTGTGCATACCCTGCACCATAGAGAATCTATTCCCCAAGAACAAAGATGGCAGCGGAAGAGACGACCCGGAACAATTACGCCCCGTTCACCGGCTATGACCAAGCAGACGACTTCGACGACGAGCTGAGCACTGTAACCACGCCTGCTGTTTATTTAACTGGCCATGCCAACGAGGCCAGATGCCACAACGCGAGCCAGCGGATGTCAGGCCTCCCGCTCGAGTCGGAAGGCGAGGACGCGGACGTGGAGCCGTCGTCGGGGGACGAGGAGTCGAAAGGCGCAGCCACGGGTGGCGGCGTGCTTCCGGACGGGACGGACAAGGATGAGGAGGAGGAGTCATCGGGCATGGGAGTGGCGTCGATGCCCGGGACACCGGCCCGGGGCCTGGTCGGCAGACCGGAGTGGCTCAAGGAGTACGCGAGCGAGACGGAGGCGCGCGGCCGAGGGCGGCGGCGGCGGCACCACCACCGGCGGTACCGGCAGACGAGGGAGCGGTGGCTGGAGCGGACGTGGCAGCTGAAGAAGAGCCACGCGGCAGCGGAGGACAGGTCGGACGCGGGCGCGGCGGCGGAGTGCCGGGTGATGGTCCGGTCGCGGTGTGGGTCCGGGCGGATGTGCATGGACATGGAGGAGATGAGGGCGTGCCGGGACCTCGGCCTGGACTTGCCGTCGGATTGGACGGTAGAGATCCAGGGAACGTTCTCCGATCTGACGGCCGACACCAGCAGCGGCGGCAATTCCCCCGTCAACTGGAGGATCTCCAGCCCAGGTACCCAAAAAAGAACTCTTTCAGCTACCCTGTTTTCTGCAACATATTCTTATGTCATTCACTACATGAATTTTATCATCTTTTGATGCGAAGGGAACTCAATGGTCTAATTGCAAATAATAAAAAGCTAAAAGTAAGATTTTGATGCTCATAATGATGCACTGTGGTAGTGTTCTCCTCGTCTGTTTGAGCTTTTGGCGTTTCAAGATCCTTCTTGAAGCTCTGATGAGGTCTTGTGCTGTGAAACAGGAGACGACCCCAAGGATGTGAAGGCCCGGATCAAAGTTTGGGCTCAAGCGGTGGCGCTCACATCCGCCTCTCGTCTCGGTGGCTGAAACCACATCCCTTGTAGTAGTAGTTGTCGTCGCAGAGTTCGTTCATGGGGCATAGCAGCGGCGGCATTTGAGCTTTGTGTGAGGCAGTAGCAGTTTGGGTTGGCAGCCCATCATCATCGTCATCATCATCATCTCAGCGTTGTCGGAGCGATGCTCCATGGAGCTTCTCCTCCTCTCTGTAAATAATGCATTGGACATGCAGGAAGTGCTCCTTCTCTTCCCTGTAAATAATGAACAGTCAGGAAGATTGACTGGTGCAAGGCATTCGTGAAGGGTTTCTGCGGCTTACCTGAAGCTACACCAGTGAGTTTAAATTGTTAGTTCAGGCCACACAGGCATTGTACATTAAATCAATCAATAAAGGATCGAACACACAACTTCCATCTGTTGCTCCTTGACAATCTCTATATTCTCCTTTTGTTCATATAGTTTGGCTGCATCAAATCATTCCAATTACCAAAGTCATCGCTAACATTAGACCTGTGATAAACGAACATTTCAGCGTCAGATTGAAGGATCGTGGATCTTCATGTGTGCACTCAGTCAACCATTTGGGCCTCGTTAAGAGCTCATAAAATCATGGATCTCTAAACGGTCAAAAATGACTAATCAGGATAAGTCAACCATAAATAAATTAACTGTCCATCAAATCAAAGAGATGGATCATACTATTTTGCTTCCTCGCAACTACTAGACATGAAGATAACCATTCTCAATTTCCCACAGTCAAAATTGGCTTTAAAATTCCTCAAACAAGACATGGAACAATGCATTGACATTAAAAATCTTCTTGTTTAACTCAGTTTTTCCTTTCAAATTATGAAGCAGATAATGACTATAGATGTGATTACAGGATTATCCATAGGATTTTGCAGCACCAGCAACTTGAATCACTTGATCTTAACCTGAGACAGGGTAGGCAAGCAACGAGTAGAAAAAGGTACTCAATGATGCTAACAGCATAGGATTTTCTACTATATGTTTTCTCTATATAGAAATCTTTTTATTAGTATGAAATTCCTAAATTGGGTCAACACTAATTATAATAATATAATAATATATTATATTTTTGGCATATATATGTATGTATATATATACATGTATATGTATGTATATACATACATATATATATATACATACATATATATACATACATATATATATACATATACATATATATATACATATACATATACATATACATATATATATAAATATATATATATATATATATATATATATATATATATATATATATACTATATATATACATATATATATACACACACACACACACACACACACACACACACACACACACATATATATATATATATATATATGTATATATATATGTATATGTATATGTATATATATAATATACATATACATATACATATACATATACACATATATATATATATATATGTATATATATGTATATATATATACATATATATACATA